ATAGATAGATAGATAGATAGAGACAGATAGATAAATAGATAGATTAGATAGATAGATAGAATAGCAGAGCCTGAAGGGACCTTGGAGGTCTTCTAGTTCAACCTTCTGCTCAAGCAGAAAACCCTATGACATTTGGCCACACTCACCCAGTCACATGACCCCCATCACCAAGCCACGCCCAGAGAACTGGTGGCAAACATTTTTACATTTTACCACTGGCGTAGGGTTGCTAATAACGCCAAGTATTAACAATATTTAATCAATCCCGGGAATGTATCTCCAAATCCCCATAACTTCTAATCCTTACTATTTGAAATTCACTGTCCTCTCTATGTGTTAAATCCCCTTTTAAGAATCTGGTTAAAAGGAATCAGAGGCGACCTTGGCTAAATGAGGTCATACGTTAAAGCAATCCACAACTCCTATTAAAAATAATTACCTACTCATCCCAATGGTAAATTAAAGACTTTAACAAATTTAGAGAGGTTTTCTCATTAACCTTATAGAGGGGAAAGGGAATTATGTATACATTCGTGCATATCTCATATCACCTAAAAAGAAGACATAACACAGCTTTCTCTGCTTCAAATCACCTGCAGATCAGAAATTCTTCCCTGACCAAGGAAGATTTCCTAACTATCTTAATTTCCATGCAAATAGAAAATCCAGAGGTTTGATATTTTTTAAGTTCTACCTAGGGCTCAATTGCTAGCAGAATCCAGATGTAGAGCTAAAAAAAAATATTAAGGATGCACGAGTTTAAAAAGAGGGGGAATATTAGACCACACAGAGAAAGGGGCCGAGTCATATAATGCTTCTCAACCTTGGCCATTAGCTCTGGACTTCAACTCCCAGAATTCCCCAGCCTTGGAATTTTATCTTCCAATAGAGTTGGAAGGGACCTTGGAGGCCTTCTAGTCCATCCCCCTGCTCAAGCAGGAGAACCTATACCATTTTAGATAAGCGACTACCTAGACTTTTCTTAAAAGCCTCCAGTGATGAAGTACCCATGATTTCTGGTGGCAAACTGTTCCATTGGTTAATTTGCCCTCGCTGTTAAGACCAGCGCATGCTGGCTGGGGAATTCTGGGAGTTGACGTCCAGACCTCTTGAAAAATGGATGAGAGCAGATTTCCCTGTTTTTATTTTTCACTAAAGCAGTTTAGACAAAGACCCTGCCCCAAAATTTAACAGACAAACCTTTCATGGACTAAATCTTCATTTCGTATAGCGGAGAGATTTTTGTCAAGAACAAAGGAAGGACTCAGAGTGATTTTTAAAAAATACTTTCATGATGGATGGGAAGTGCAGATGAACAGGTATCTTTGACACAATCCCTGCTGAAGCTCCCTACAAGTAGTCCATTTAGTGACCGTTTGAAGTTACAATGGCACTGAAGTGACTTATGACTGAGTTTCACACTTACGACCATGGTGACATGGTCAACATTCAGAAGTTTGACCACCGACTCATATTTATGACGGTCGCAATGCCCGGGTTCGTGTAATTTCCCCCTTAGTGACCTTCTGACAATCAATGAGGAAGCTGGATTCACTTAACAACCTTGCTACTAATGTAACAGCTGCCGGCGGTCCACTTAACGACTGTCGCAAGGAAGGCAGTAAAACGAGGGCGAAACTCACTTAAAAGCTACCTCCCTTATCGACAAAAGAAATATTGGGTGGCAGAAGCTGGGACAAGTAATGGGAGCTCACACCATTGCACGGCGCTAGGGATTCGAACCGCTAAACCGTCAACCTTTCTGATCGACAAGCTCAGC